CGTCATATAATATACTCTACTATACGCACCCATACAGATTGCACACAACGAATATTATCGTGTCTGAAAATAATATTAAATTATTAGAATAACGACGCTGAAAAAAATGACGGATTGCCGTTCGTAATGGAAGACGGCGAGAAGGTAGAAGAGTTGAGGAGCCAGCTCGTTTGTCGGCCAGCGATTATCAGTTTTCACAGCGGCGAAATGTCATAGGAGACAACGTCTCCCCATTTAGAACACAGGATAGATAATTTTGTTTTATACAATATTTACAATTTGAATGTCACTTATATTATCAAATACCAATGTGATGATGTTTCAATATTAATTGTTAAAATCGGCTGTAGTTAGAATTCTTAAAATAGATTTAGATTAACGCGAGACGCGACACGGCAGGTCGTACGAGATGCGGGTCATTCCAACCATGGTATTATATCTGGCGTCGCTRATTCGCAACTCGTCACAACATTATGGCGCGCGGGCATTGGCGAAATTATCGTGAGCGGGCCTTACCATCTACGGTAAGAGAATGTGACGTGYTTCACCATTCGTATTACCACGGTGGTTCGGTGTTCAGCCTTCGATTATCGACGTCGCCGCGTTGTCACGCCCATCGTCGACTGCAAAYCGTGATAGATAACGTGATTCTTGATATTTTATTTCGACGTCTGCGAGCGGCGCTACAGAACGGGACGGCAAGAGGCGGAGAACTCCGTTCTGTTGAACAGCTTGTAGGTTGGCTGGATCCGTTGACGACATCCGGGAAACGTGATCTCCACTCCATTGGATCAAATTCTCCACGAGTAGGCAATGCGTCGACCGTGTTACTGGCGAAGTGGCGACCCGTGTTTTCGGTGACGTGAAATCGTCCACAGATCGCAATAGTTTGACCCCTTTAGGGCCGAACACGTTAGCAAGATGTCGCAAATAGGAGTGGATGATACGGAAAAGAGCACGAAGGTGCACGGCGATAACGGTAAGTAACCCGCTCACGTTCTCACTGTTCTCGTACCGCCCAAGGCTTGACGGGTTCGCGGGTGTAGTGCGGTCGGTCGTCGTTAACGCATGATACCYTCTGATGGGTGACGGCTCGACGAGCACTCGGTTGCAGTTACGATCATGTTGAGCGATGGACGAAAACGACGACGGTACGGCGASTGTAGTAGAGATAYCGTCGCAGGCAACGAACTATAGGTTGACTGTACCAAATACTATAAATAATATCTATCTATAGTATTTGACTGTACTAACGATGAGGACGGTGATGCCAGCCAACTCGTTTAGGCGGCAKCGGTGAAGACTTTATCATGGGGAAAGTGATAGAGAGATAGAGACAATAATAATATGTGCAAATAATAAAGAAACTCAAGATTTCCAGTGTTCGACGGCCGAGCATCGTGAACGAACTCCGACGAAGACTTACTTGTCATGCTCCAAGCCTCCAAAGCGCATGCGTGGCAACGAAGTTGGCGAATACCAGTTACCAGTCATTAACTACAAACTTCAACGGTTATTTTGCAGTGTTGTCACGCGTACGAACATTTCAACTATGTACAAACTACAAACATGACTTAAACTGATAACAAAATTACTTTCCTTTAGATCATATTAATAGACATCATGAATCATAATGAATGAAGTTTGTTTCGAAACATCTATCCTTAACTTTAATAGTGACATAATGAAAAATCATATTATATTGAACCAAAATGTTTTCAAAATCATACAATTAATACATTTAATAATCCGTCATTATGCCACAATCAGATTGCATCA